CCACTCACCTCAGCCTCCCAAAGGCGCGGGATTACAGGCTGAGCCATCGAGCCCGGCCCATCATCTTTTATAAAAGCAAAAGGATAGTATGCTTTGGACTAGTGCCTACTAGTAATATACCACAGAGATAATTCCACATATTATTTCCAGAACATTACAGAAATATGATATGAACAACTTTTCTTTGTAATTGCCCATTGTCCTATTATTGCTTCTCATTGAGTCATGCATATTCAACAGTGATCCATCATCTACGAGTCAAAATATGGTTATTAAATTATTCAATTTATTTTAAAATTGTGATTCCTACAGTATATTTTAGAATACAAAATTATAGTATGGTATTGAACTGATCTAGTATCTAATGGGTGCACAGAGGGTGTTTCAATGAAATTGAACTGAGCTTCAATGTATTATTAACCTAATATGCAGAAGATTCAAATCTACCTTCTGCCTCCTTTTCTGCTTGTATGCAGACAAAGGATAAAACCTTTTCCAATTTCCTTAACTAAGCATGTTCTTATGTAAAAAATTGGTGGCATCTGTGTTCTATTTTATTTTAGGATTTAAAATAATATTCTATTGTAATTAGTATATCATCAAATAAGCGTGAGATATTTATCTTTCTCTGGCACTGATGTTTAAATGCAAACATATTTTTATGGTATCTTTGATGCCAAGATATTGGGATTTCCTTGGGTTTAATGAGTATTCTAAAAGGGGTAATTGGAAAGGTCTATATATAACAAGGTGTAAAGATCCTGCAAGACCGGGGTCCCCAACCCCCATGTCATGACCGGTCCATGGCCTGTTAGGAACCTGGCTGTACAGCAGGTGGTAAGCTGCTTCGGGGGTCGAGGGGAGCCAGCGAAGCCTCATCCATATTTGCAGCTGCTCCCCATCTCTGGCATTACTGCTGAAGCTCCACCACTGTCAGGCCAGCAGTGGCATTAGAGCCTCATAGGAGCACAAATCCTATTGTGAACTGTGCATGTAAGGGATCTGTTGTGTTCTCTGTATGAGAATCTAATGCCTGATGATGTGAAGTGGAGCTTAGGCACTGGTGCTATATATTTCGTTATACATTACAATGCAATGATACTAGAAATAAAGGGCACAATAAATGTAATGCTCTTGAATCATCCAGAAACCACCCCCCACCTCCAGTCCATGGAAAAATTGTCATCTACAAAACGGGTCCCTGATGCACCAAACTGCTGCCATAAGACAAAGAAAAGGGAACCCTGGAAGGAACATCATGTTTGTTATAGGATCTGAGTTTTTTAAAAAATTTTTAATTTGGAAGATGTGGGGTACAATTCAGGGTTAGGTATACAAATGCTCATTATGCAGGTACCCTTTTTGATGAGGTGTGCTCCCACCTTCCCTGGCAGTTTCCTACTACTGCCATGGATCTGGGTTTTTATGAAGACAGCAGAGAGGGCAGAATTGAGAATGATTTGAAAAACAAGAGCAACAACTAAACACTGGAAGTTGTTGGTAGGGTTGTGAAGTTAATGCCAACAAGATACCTTTGTTCAGTCTGAATCAGCTTGGTAGCATCAGACCCAGTTTAGCCCATTTCAGGTCCATGAATCCTGTCCCCTGCACCCCTCCCCCATCTTCAGTTATCAGCATCAGTTATTCCTCAAATCTGCACAGAGTTGCCTGAAAAAACCCATGTAAAATACAAAATATCATACCTGACACTTAGCAGTGTCCCAGTATATGATAGTTACCAGTTTCATTATTATTACTATCATATTATCATCATTATTATTATAACTACTAATGTCACATGTCACTAGAATTGGCATTTCCCATTGGTTTGCCAAGTTTGATGTAAACCCATTTTATACTTAAGTAGATGTCTCTTTTCATAATAAACCTTTGAAATAACTGCATCAGACATATAACTGACTCCAGTAAAACTGCCTCTTTCTGAGAAGCAATGTCATTTTAATACCTATTAACCAAGATACTCAATTTCTAAAAACATAATAGGTCAGTTCAAAGGGGCTTAGACTAATATATATGAAAGGGGACCTAAAAAAGCTGGAATTTATTTGTAAAAAATTGTTATTTATTCTGACATGTTTAAACTTCAGTCACCTTCAAAGTACTCTCTGTTTTATGTAATACACCTATCAAGATGCTATTTCCACAGCTCAAAACACTTTTTTAACTTGTCAATTTTGATGCCTGTTGCTTTTTGTTTCACTCTTCCACACTGGCAAAATGTTTTCACTTGAGGACTTTTTCATTCGGCGAAACAAAAAAAGTTGCTCAGGTGAGATCGGGTGAATAGGGAGGGTGAGGCATGGGGGTCATGAGTTTTTGGGTCAAAAACTGCTGAACACTCAGTGCAGGGTGGAAAGGTGCGTTATCATGGTAGAAGAGCCAGTTACCTGATTGCCACAACTCGGGGAATGTTTCTTCTGCAAATCATGATACAGTCTTCTCAAAGCTTCCAGATAAAAACTTTGGTTGACTGATACAGAGAAACAAATTTCAAGTATACTACAAGGGGCCCACCTTCCACAAAAAGATAATTCCATTTTTGGGGGTCCCCCCTCATAGAGCTACTAAGAAAAAATATATGCTCTTAATCCTTGGGGGAAAATATTAAAACATTTTATGAATACAAACGGTATTAAAACTATTAGCTCTCTCTAATCTAATAAATCTAAGTGACTTTATGTAGTAAAAAATCATTATTTGTATAACAAGGTAAGGTTCTTAAACATTATACTTACATTTTAGTGACTTTAGATACTATGATCCTAAGAGTTTTAAAAAAATACATTGTGTATATAATTTATTTTATCTCATATACCTATAAAACATGAGTTAATTGAATAGTAATGTGCAAAATGTTAGATTTCAGGAAAACATTTGGAGTTGTGATTTACACTGATGAAAAATTAAATCTCCCAATTAGTAAGATTTTGATACTGACCTTCCTGGAAATTCCTTGGTTCAGACATTGGAATCTGGGTCCTATCCAGCTCACTAATACGGTAAAGATCATCAAATTCCCCCCAGCGTGTCATTCTGAAAAGTAATAAATCTTATAAATGACATTAATTCCTTTCATATTAAGACATGTGATGGCTTTCAGATCTACAATATTAATACAGTACAACGTGTGGTCATCTGTAGGTGAATATAACATCCAAAGTTAAGACAATTTTTATGATATTATTAAAATTATATTCATGCCAGAGTGGTCAGCATGTGTATTAACTACCCACTGTATTTTTTGAGTATATCTTGTCATTTTGACAAAATAGTTCTGTTACACACTGAAACAGCAGTTATACAGATTCTGTAAAACATACATCCAAATGGAATTGGTAGAAACCAACATGGACAATTGTTAATAAAGATGTTTTACAATACTCTTATGAGAGTTAAGATATAACACAATGTTTACATACATAAAATATAATACATATTGGCATTCATCCTGCTGGTATGTATTGAGTACCTAAATTTTGTAAGATAGTGGCTCCAAAATAATAAGATATGACATCTGTGTTTAAGGTTTTTGACTACTGTTAAGAAAATGCAGTTTACAAAGGAGAAAAATGTATGAGAAACTTTTTTGCGGGAAAATTATTATTTCATACAGAATACCAGAAATTTTCAATGCATCCTAGAGCTCAGACTAAATAAACCTGACAAATGCTTATTTTTACAGCAGGCCTTCACTTATTTTCATTTTATTTATCTGGCTTTAAACAAGTTATTTAACTTCTCTATGCCTCAGTGTTCTCATCTGTAAAATGGAGATGATAATAGTATGAGCCAGGTTAGGGTTGTTGTCAGGATTCAAAGAATTAATTTGTATAAAATTCTGGAAACAGTGCTCTGCACTTAGTAAGTACTTGATATGCATTTAAAACCTATAATTATCCTCATCTTTATCATCATCATCATCACCATCATCACCCTCATCTGTTTCCACCTCATACATGATGGGCCAGGACCACTAGGGATCCAAGGTATTCCTGGATCTCTCTAGGCAAATGGACACTATTATCTAGGGATAACTTACACAATGTCTATTTTCATTATGACCAAAAAATATTCACCTATAGGAAATGTATGATGTTAACTCTAACCAAATGTCACTGTTGGCAACGAAAAATAATTAATTAATACTAATAGTAGTGAATATGAAAAATTCATCCTCTTTACTTTTGCATTCTTTTGAAGTCTTTTCGTAGTTATATAATTTCAGTCTCACAATAGCCTTATAAAGTAGAGAAGGTAATCCTAATACACAGTATTTGTTAATTTCCGGCAAACTCTACTATCCCGAACATAGCCAATCAAATGTCATAAAGTCCAACTATAGGTAATAATATTAACTCAAAGGAGAATGACTAGGTCCTGACTCAGAATCTAATTACTTTTGTGGCAAATAAAATTATCCATTTCCCCCAATCTATAGCAGACTACTAAAAAGGGGACGGGTATAATTCTCATTGAAGGAGGGTTAGCAAATGGAAAAGACTATAATATCAATGGAAAATAGAAAGTAAAAATGCAAAGCAACCTGCTGCTATTTCCTGTGGGGGAAGATAATCCCTAAGAATGTCAGACAAATTCTTGATGACCCTGGCAGATATAACAGCTGCCCCTACTTTGTTACAGCTTAGAGATGCCACACAAATAGAGGGCCAAACATGGCTCAATATATGCAGCATTTGGTCACATTTCCTCCATACCATCTACAGCAGAAAATACTAGTTTTCAGCTCTAGATTATGTAATTTGAAGTATCACACCATAGAACTGTCACATGACTAAGTTAGAGGGCAGTTATCCAGAGTTTTCAGAGAATTGGTTAGAAATTCATGTGATACCAAATTGTTTAACTTGCCCAAACACGGGACTGTTTGTGTTGCCCCGATCAAACTTCAGGATGAATACCATTTGCAAATTGAAACTGTGGGGGAGGTTTTCTAAAGAGTTGCAAACTAAAAAGGAGGTAGAAATTTGATAGACAAATAGCCACTTCCTTATCAAGATCGTAAGAAAAAAACCAATGTGACTGCCATTATTCAAATGCACACCTGTCCAGTTTCTGCTCTTTATGTCATTCTGCCACGACTTATCCAAAATATGCAAAAGTTGACTTTGGAAAGATATTAAAAACAGAAAGGAAAAATAGTGTAAGCAAACAATCTTAATGAGGCTGTTTTTTTTTTTTAATGAAAAATTTCCAAAACACTTGGACCAGATATGAGAGATCAACATAATGTCCATAAAATTGTTTCCATAAGGGATACTAAAAGGGCAGAGCTCAAACAACCAGATTTATTTTTAAGCTCCTACCACTCCCATTAAGCTGATACCTCCTCAGTGTGACTCATTTCAAACACAATTAAAACAAACTAACATGACAAGACTGATGATTCTCTCAAAGGGGGACCTGAAAGATGCAAGACTGCAGCCTTTCCTGAAGATGAACATGTAATTTCTACATCATTTATTTCAATTCTCCCCCTGGAGATATCAAATCTGTGATCCTGCAAAAAGCAGAGGTATAAATTCTACCCACAGATGCCCAGTGTGAGAAAAGTAACAGGGAAAAGATGTAAGAGTAAGGGAAAAGTTCATTTCTTTACACAATTTAATTTAAGGCTCAGATTTCACACATCTGTTACTTCAGGGGTGGCAATCAGACTGAGGATGTCTAGGATTGGATCGAAATAGTGCCTTAGATGGTTGGGCACCCCATTAGAGAACCAGAGGTCAGGGAAATGCCATTTCAAATAATGTTGTACCATTGGGTACAGTGGTTCAAGCTTGTAATCCCAGCACTTTGGGAGGCGGAGATGAGAGGATTGCCTGAGTCCCGGGGTGCGAGACCCACATGGGCAACTTGGCGAGACCTTGACTCCACACACACACACACACACACACACACACACACACACACAAATAGCTGGGTGTGGTGGCTCTTGCCTGTGGATCCAGCTACTTGGAAGTCTGAGGTGGAAGGATTGCCTGAGCCCAGCAGGTCAAGGCTACAGTGGCTGTGAGCGTGCCACTGCACTCCAACCTGGGCAACAGAGTGAGACTCTGACTCAAAAAAAAAAAATCAAATAATGTTGTACCTTCCTGCCTGAGTGTTCAGCTGGTTTCTAGAAAATATTCTTGGCAATTAATCACAACTGAATCTAATATTGTTCCTGAGTGAGAGTGTGTGTGTGTGTGTGTGTGTGTGTGTGTGCGCGCGTGTGGTGTGAGTCTGTGTATGCACGAGTGGGATCTTTTTTTCCCAAATCTTGCCAATCAGAAACCTGATTAACTGCACAGGTAGTAATGTTATTCTGGTAAAGGACAAGCCAAGAAAGGTTTCTAGGTCATTCCCACCTTTAAATAAAAGGAGACAATTGCTGATTGCTTCACGGCAATTTTTATTTTTTTAAGTTGCAGTCTCACTTCATTGCCCAGGTTGGACTGCAGTGACATGCTCACGGTCCCACCCCAGCATTTATCTGCTGGGCTCAGGCGACCCTTCAGCCTCAGTCTTCCAAAGTAACCAGAACTACAGGTGCGCGCTACCATGTCCAGCTAACTTTTTTTTATTTATTGTAGAGACCGACAAGGTCTCACCATGTTGCCTAGGTAGATCTTGAACCCGCAGACTCAGGCAATCCTCTCGCCTCAGCCTCCCAAAGTGCTGGGATTATAGGCTTGAGTCACCATGCCCAGCTCACAGCAATGTTTTAATAAACAACACAAAATGCAAATGGATTCTATAAAAAGTATCATGAGGATACTATTTTATAGTCTGCTGCAATATATGGAGAAGCATCACTACTACCTTGTTCACCAGGGGTTTTGAAACTCATTCAAAAATTCAGAATTGCTAGCAGCAAGTGTTTTAAATTTGAAAAATTAAAAAATCTTGGTTGATAATAATATATTGTATGCTTTAAAACAGCTAAAGGAGAGGATTTTTAAAAAATGTTTGCACCACAAAGAAATGATAAATATTTGCGGTGACGAATAAGCTAGTTAGCTTGTTTTGCTCATTCTACAATGTATACATGGATAAAACCATCACATGGTACTCCATAACCATACATAATTATTATTTGTCAGTTAAAAATAAAATAAAACTTTAAGATATCTTGGAATGCCCATTCCAAGATAATAATAATGTGATAGTACAAGCACCCTACTTCATCTCTTTGACATCTTCGTTTAATGCTTTATACTTACTATGTGATCATGAATCAAAAAATTAAAATGCGCCAAAAGGAGTTGGCTGCTTAAAGAACCTGGCAATGGCTTCTTAGGTAGCTAATATTGTGAATTTATACCTTGTACCATTTTTTTTTTTTGAGTCAGAGTCTCACTGTCGCCCAGGCTGGAATGCAGTGTCATGCTCACGCCACTGCAGCCTCGAACTTCTGGGCTCAGGTGATCCTTTTGCCTCAGCCTTCCGAGTCACTGGAAGTACAAGCATGAGCCACCATGCTTGGCTAATTTTTTGATTTATTATAGAGATGAGCTCTTGCCAAGTTGCCCAGGCTGGTCTTGGGATTACAGGCATGAGCCACACACCTGGCACTTGTATCATTTTATAAAATCAGGGCCATGTGTAATTTCTTCTTTTTCATGATGCTCCTGGTCACTTAGAATCATGTAACCCATCAGTCATAGGGTACCCAAAGTGAAAGATGCAGGGCTTCCTCAGGCTGCCTGAGGCTGCAGACCCCCTTCTGTCCTTCCCTAAACACTGACCCCTAAACTCATCGGCAATTCTTATCTTGGATGAAGACCAGTCACAAGATACAGGAAGACAGAGTTGTCCTAACAAAGCAAAGGTAATGTAACCACAAGCTTCTGAGGGCTTCACTCTATGCTATATTTTGAAGTCCCTTTTTGTGCCAGGCACACAGCTGGGCACTGGGATGCAAAGACAAAGAAGACACATTCCCTCCTATTGAGAAGTTCAGGAAGGGGGAGACAGGTGTACACAAATGCAATTGACCACATACTCTGAAAGTGGCAGAGAAAAGTTGTCACTGCATCTAGTGTAGGCCAAGGGATCAAAAACAGCTTTCTGGTGAACATGTGATCCGACCTGAGTCTTAATGGATTGATTGAAGAGAGTCAGCAGATGAATGTTAAGAAGCAAGTAGACTTCCAGGCAGAGAGTCAGGAAAGTAAGAAACCTCATGACTATGTGTAGGAAATTACAAAACACTCAGCACTGCTGGAGCATAATGTTTGGAAAATGTTGGCAAGGTGAAAATCATGGTGTGACTTAAACATTTTATCCACAGGAAAAGCGGACTTCCCTTAAGATGATATCCGGTTTTCCTTAGTTGTGGCCAAAGAGTGGATTGGGAAAATTGTCCTCTCCTCTGATAGAACTCTAACTCATCTAAAAAATGGATTAGGTCAGATGTGGTGGCTCAGCTTGTAATTCCAGCACTTAGGAAAGCCAAGGCAGGAGGTCCAGGAGTTCAAGACCAGCCTGGGAAACATAGCAAGATCCCATCTCTATGCTAGGAGTGGTGGCATGTGCCCTTAATCCCAGCTACTTGGGAGGCCAAGGCAGAAAGATCTCCTGAGCCCAGGAGGTTGAGACTGTGGTAAACTGTGATTGCATCTCTACACTCCAGTCTGGGCAACAGAGTGAGAACCTGATTCAAAAATGAAAATAAAGATAAAAGATAAAAATAGATGGGGGGATGAGTCGTATGAAAAGAAGACTTGCTATCTCAATGTATATACAAAGAAGTTAGGGGTTAAAAAGAGAAGTCAGGGACTAAAAAGAAAGAGATAAGGAAGGGAGGGAGGGAGGAAGAAACTTTCAAAGGTATGATTCCTGTTGGGAATATTTATTATTTTTCTAAAAATTATGAGGGATAATGAAAAACATCAGCTCCACTTGGATATTCAAGGTACAGTTGTATAAACCCACACATGGAACTGTTTTGTGCACTTATTTAACTTCAAATGTGCTTTGTGGTGTTCTGTTGAAAGGATCAGGACAATCAGATGGAGCATAATGACGTCTGCCTTCCAGAAAGCAGGAAGAGCCCATTGTTCCAAGGAGAGGAGAAATTTAAATGGTATCCCCTTGTTTTGGAGACCAGGCCAGGGCTAGTCAAATTTTGCATTTACATTTTGTCTTTTCCCATGGAGGGTGGTCTCCAGGAGAGAAGCAACACAGTGAGATAAGCGCACGGGCTTGGGAGCCCCTGGAACTAAGGTCCAATTCGGTGCTGCTACTACATTTTAGCAGGGTATCTTGCACAAATGACTAACCTTGAATAGCCTTGGTTTCTGAACACCTGCTTCATGGAGTTGCTGGGGGATTAAATGAAATCGTGTATTCGCGTTTATACACAAGCATAAGCTTCCCTTTTTAAGAGTACATACAATAAAAGTAGAAAGAAGATCATCTTCTAAGGAGTTAAAGACATGCAAGATAACTTACCCCTTGCTGGAAAAGACGTCTAGTGACTTTGTAGTAAAAGAAGGAATTTGTTTTTCATCTTGTATTTTCAGCTGTATAGGTCGTTTTACTCCCCAGAAAATGTCCAGCATTCCTTCAACAATTGGTTTCCCATCTTCAGTCTAAGGAAGAAACCCCCCAAATTGTTTTTGTATTATTTCCAGAAGGTATATATTTTAACTGAAGATGTATGCATTAAGTTCAGAAGAAATCTTAATAAGTTAAAAAGGAACTTCAGGGGAGACTGTTTAGCTCCTCAATAATCTATAAAATAATTCTATTTTTAAAACATTCTTTTATTTTTGAACACAGCTATGCCCAGCAAACTAAGTCATAACAATAAGGGAATGTCCACCAGGGGACACAATATGCTAAAATGTTTTCTGAACTCTATGATCCTTCAATTAAATGGAATTGTATTTTATTTTATTTTGTTTTGAGTTGGAGTCTCACTCTGTTGCCCAGACTGGAGTGCAGTGGTCGTTCCTGGCCACCACAGCCTTGACCTGCTGGGCTCCAGCAATCCTCCCGTCTCAGCCTTCCAAGTAGCTGGAACTACAGACGCGCACAACCACACTCGGCTAATTTTTTTGATTTTTTGTAGAGATGAGGTCTCGCCAAGTTGCCCAGGTGAGTCTCAAACCCGCAGGCTCAGGCAATCCACTCACCTCGGCCTCCCAAAGCGCTGGGATTAAAGGCTGAGCCACCAAGTTTTAATTCTCTAATTCTGTTTAATATAAAATGAAAGCAGATTTTAAAGCTTTGCTGAAAACTAGAAATCAGAAAACACAGATATTCAGAGACTTAGAGGCTGTTTTCTCATTTGTGAAATTTAACTCATAAAGTTATTATGCAAAACAAGTAAAATAATGTATGTGAAAACACTGTAAAATGCAAAACATATAGAAATATTTTTGCAAAATCAATAGCGTTTGAAGAATTTCTTTTAAATTGGAAATATGGTAGTATAACCAAAGAAGGAATGCTATGCAGGCAAAGAAGAATTAGCAAATATGGACTGAACATTTACTTATTCTGTGGATATAAAGAAATATTAAGGCCAAAGTACGTTCCCATAGAGCTTATTTTATGTAGAAATATCTATTTCTTCTTCTACATGGAAAAACCCTTTTCTATTGTCAAAGGAATATGTTACAGAAATTTTGGAAAACATAAAAACTAACAAGTCATATGGCAAACATCCAATAAGTATTAAAACATCTATTAACTACTATTATTATGAAAAATCATTTGCTAGACAAAATTTAAAAACTCAGTTCTTATTTGGGATTATAATGAAAATTCCAGACCCTGGAATTAGACAGACCTGTATTCAAATCTTGAGTCTGCCACTTTCTAGCTGTGTGCCTTTGGACAAATTGCTGACCATCTTTAAGCCTGGGCTTCCTCTTCTGAAAAATGGACATTATAATAATCTCTCATTTATAGTACCTGACATTCAATAGTTTCTCAATAAATACTGCTGCTTATTATTTCTTTGTATGATAAATGTACTTGGAATCACTTCTGAAACAAAAATTTTGCTCTTTCTTCCACATTTGAGTTTACATTTCAGATTACTAAGAGGTTAAGATAACCAACCAGTTGTTTTCTACAACCAAACATGATTTGTTATTTGCAATGGCAGTACATGGTGTGGATTCTATAGTTTAGCTATTGATGTATAACATTGTTTCTTTGCCTAATTAGATTCCAATGAATCCTTTACATTAAATACTCAGGATAACAGCTCTTCTGAAATGATTTAATTCTCGTTTTCAAGAAGAAATACTCCATCTATTATTAGACAATGCTTCTTTTTATATAAAGAATTTCAGGATACTTTCTAGTATCAGAAAACATCTTCTTAGAGATTAACTAAATAAATCATTCAGGAAGGCTTTTTTATATTCTCTAGTTACATTGTCTAAGTCCCTAGGCCTCTTCTTTTCTGATCTACACTCATTTCTTTGGTCATCTCAAGGATGTTTGTATACCGTCTCTAAACTAACAGCTCCTTGCTGGTCATGGTAGTTCATGCCTGTAATCCCAGCACTTGGGAGACTGGGATGAGAGGATTGCTTGAGTCCAGGAGTTCAACACAGCAAGACCATGTCTTTAAGAAAATCAGAAAATTGTCTCATGCTTGTAGTCCCACCTCCTTAGAAGGCTGAAGTGGAAGGATCACTTGAGCCCAGGAGATGGAGGTTGCGTGAGCTGTGATCATGCCACTGCACTTCAGCTTGGACAACAGAGCAAGACCTTGCCTCAAAAAAATAAAAATAAAATAAACTAACAATTCCAAACTTGATATCTCTAGCCCAGACCTTGTCCCTGAACTCTAGTTGTCAAACTGCCTACTTGACCTCAAACTTAGTATGTTCCTAATGTAAACTTTTGATCTTTCTGGCATAAATATTTCCCTCTCTCATTCTTCCCCATCTTAGTAAACAGCATCCTCATTCCTCCAGTTGCTTAGGTCAAGAATTTTAGAGCTGCTTTTCATCTTTCTTTTGCACCTAACACTCAATGCATTGACAAGTCCTGTCAGCCCTACCTTAAATCGATATACCTGATATGGGAATATCAAGTCCCCCACTACCGTTCTGATCCAACCTATTGCAATTGTTAGCCTCGATTAGTGTAATCGTTTTCTATCTGGCTTCCTTCATTCTTCCCTTATCCTTCTATATATTCCTGGTAGCTATAGAAATCCTTTAAAAATGTAAGTGGCTTCCCATCTTTTTAAGTGCAAACTATGAATACATAGCTTCATGATCATCTGTCTACAAGACCCCTACCTACGCTGGCATCTTCCTCTTCTCAGTTATCACTCTCACTTCAATTATCTGCTACTTTCCCATTCTCACAGGATCCCTACCAGACAGGTCCCTGCTGTGCCTCCATTACACCAGTTAGGCTCAAAACCTTTATTCAGGCTGCTGTCTCTGCTTGGAAGGCGTGCCCTATACAGACTTCTGCATGATTCATGCTCTCACATTTCAGTCTTGGATCAAAAACTCTATTCCCCATCCTTCCTGGGTTCCTGAGCACCCTTCCCCGCTTTGCTGTTCTTCACAGTCCTTCTCACCATCTGACATATTCTACACATTTTTCTTCTTTGTTTCTTGTTTGTCCAGGTAAAATGTGAACAGCAAGTAAACAAGACATTCTGGCTCATTTCTTCATTGCTATATCTCCAGCTGATGGTGTTTGGCACATGGTAGACACACAATAAATATTTGTTTAATTACCTGATTAGGTAATTAATCAGAGATGAACAAAGCTATATACTGTCATCTATGGACTGCTCCTTGTAACAGTGTCTATCACTCCTTACTAAGTTAGAAGATATGGAAAATTTTGGATTACAATTTTATTGACCAATGTATAAAAATTAAGTAACTAAGCTATCTAATAGCCTCACTTGGCATGTCGCTTCATATCGTTTTCAAAAATTATATAAGATATAAGCTTATTTTTACTTAAAAAATTAAATAAATTATGCATGGAAAATAGAGCATTGATGGACAGAATTGGAAAATACATGCTTCAACTTAAATGTTCATAGCACCAAACTCAAACATTTTCCTAAAGGATATGATTTATGTAAAAACTGTTGAATTCAGGTTTTAATCATCATTTTCCTAAAGTTTTGATCTTTTCCAAAATGTTGTATTTTTAGAATTACATATATTAAAAATCTAAGACATAGGACAGCATTGAAATCATTTAAAATTAGCCCATTTCTTTATAAATTATTGGGTCATTTCCTTCAGCATATTATTAAATTTGGGACAGTAACTGAAATACTCAATTGAATTAAACCATTTAAGCTTAGTAGTAAGGGCCAGAGTGCTTTGTAAATCTCTGTTCAGACTGCAGATTTAAGCCAAATCATAGTGGCTTAAAGACCGTGCTGTGCCATCAAATTTGAAGACTTAAATCAGGAGTAGAAAATTCTCATGTTTCCTTTGGGTGGGAAGATATTGTAAATATATGAAGTGATCCCCATCAGAATACAAGACTGAATAGAGAGATCTGTAGATAATGAAACATTTTAATTAAAAAGAACAAAGAAGGAGGAAGAAGAAAGGAGGAAGGAGGAAGAAGAAAAGAGGAAGAAGGAGGAAGAAGGAAGAGGAGGTGAGGAGGAGAAGGAGGAGGGGAGGAAGAAGAAGACGGCCACCTTGTATAATAGTCTGACAACTGCACCTTTAAAAATGCTTTCCAGCTTCAGGACTTTTCTGACTTGTTTCTTTGACATTTTAAAATTTGTTATTATTATAATATAGTGTACATTTATTGGAATCCAACTCATTCATTTTAACAGCCAAATCAAGCTCGATGTTACAGATACATCATGGTTTATCTGAATGAGCTTCCACTGGTAGAGATTCAAAATATCTTCAAATTTTCTCCATCACAAATGATGTCACGACGAATGAACATCATTGAATACACATTCTGGTACATTTCTAAGAAGTAGTGTGATAGATTTCAAGTGAAATTGTCAAAAGATATTCATACTCCTTTTTTGAAAATTATTTTTAAATGCATTTCTATCCCCAAAATGCTTAGCAAGTCACAGATGTCTCAGGCCTGGAATCTTATAGTCTAAAAAAAATCATAATCAAGTTAAACATTCACCTATTTCTCCCATATCAAACTGCATTACATTTCTTCAATGGGCTTACCTGTGCATATACAATATGCAGATTTTTCTGGTTCTCATAAAAAATGTTATAAGTCTTCAATAAATAATTAAGTTGTTCCCTAAAAAAAAAGTTCAGTTACAATCAGTTTTAGACTTTTTAATAGTAAAAGGCGGTAACAGTACTTTCAGTTCATAAAGGTCTGAGATAGAAAGAAATGGTTCAATGGAATCTTTACTATCTGTCACTTTAACTTAATGTATGTCATCGCAAATCTTGAAGGCACTAATTCATAAGTAAATAACCAAAGAAGCCAACATGATGAAGGCAAGGGTGGTGAGGAGAGTGTTCTGTAGCAGGAGGCAACCACAAAATAGAAAATTGGCTTCAGGTTTTTTTGTTGTTGTTCTGCAATATTAACCAACCTAAATCAAGTACTAGTGTGTATCTGACACTGTGCTTCCCTCTGGAATTCAGCAATGGTTCAAGAATGGTCTCTGTGCTTGGCATTTTGGGAAGCCAAGGCGAGAGAATTACTTGAGTCCAGGAGTTCGAGACCAGCCTAGGCAATATAGTGAGATCTCTTTCCTACATATAAACATAAAATAAAAAAATTAACCCGGGGTGGTGGCACATGCCTGTAACCCCAGCTACTTGGGAGGCTGAGGTGGAAGGATCATCTGAGCCCAGGAGGTCAAGGCTCTGGTGAGCAATGATTGTGTCACTGCCTTCCAGTATGGGTGACAGAGGGAGGCAAAAAAAAGTAAGAATGGTCGTTGCTCCTGAGTTGCCTCACCCTTAGTGGCAGGTGGCCTCTAGAGTGGGAACACTGTTTCCTGCCACTCCTCCATCATCTGCCCTTCCCTCTGTGTCTTGGGGTGCCTATCCTTTCTCACCTGGATCATTGCTACATCCTGCTAAAAGCCCCCCTTTGTCTCTTGCCTATTTCTCAGCAGCAGAAACTAATTTAAGGCAAACCTGACCATCTCTCTCCTTTGATCAGATCTCTCCAATACCTTTCCATTATTCAGATTAAAAGCCAACATCCTTACAATGACTTGAAGGTCTGAATGCCATCTGGTCTTCTGCTGCCTCTTCCATCTCGTTTCCTCCTTTAATGTTCCCTGGATATTCCAGGCACACACCCATCTCAAGGCCTTTGTACTTACTGATCTCTCTGCCCAGAATGATCTTCCCCAACCTTTCACATTGCCAGCTCATTCATTTTCTTGAATTGTCATCACAAGTCACCTTCTCAAGAAGTCCTTCCTGATCACCCAATCTAAAAGTTCACCCTCTCCCAACATTTCACATCTTACTTTCCTCCTTTACCTTCCCCTGAGTCACCATCTAACCATCCATGTATTTACTTATTTAGCTTATGTTTTGTCTCCTCCACTAGAATATAGCTCCATGAGTATTAGGGTGTTTACATGTTTTGTTCACACCATATTCTGTGCTGGAAGAGTACTTGACACGTAGTAGAAACTCAGCAATTTCTGGGTGAGTGAAATTATCAGAAAATTCTCATTTCTAAAAATAAATAACAAAGGGTAAGAGCTTTTTTATATAAATAATATTATGAAAAAAGGCCCATGATATTAAAATTCCAAGTATTTCAATTGCTAAAATTCCTTTGACCTTCACTATCTGTCTCCCTCTCTTAAGGCTGTTGGCTCCAGGTGGGCAGGGAGTTTGGTCTATTTTATTCATTCCTGTGCTCCTGGAGCTTAGAGCAGAAACTTGCTCATGGTAGGTTCTTATTCAATAAATACTTACTGAGTATTGAATGACAGAATTTATATCTATTGAGTTAAACATGCTTGAAATCATGTAAACATATTTTTTCACTAGATTTTTTTTCACTTGTAAATTTCAATATGCACATTTCCAAGGATCAATATATTCCATGTAACTACCATCAAAAATATTCTATAGAAGTTCTCCATGGCATTGTTCCATTTCCCAACTGGATTATTGTAAATTTTTAATGCTAATGAACGTGTTTAAAGATCATTGAGCACGTTGATTTTGTTGCCTTGAGATCATGGCTATGAGATATTTCCTAAAAACTGCACAACTGGTAAAGAACATGAACACTTTTACAGCTCTCATTATTTAGTGTCAGAAAACCAAACAGAAATTTCGGGGTCACTTAGCATGCAATTCCTGATATGCTGAGCTATGAGAGTTGTTATGAGAGCATTTGGAGCTTTATATAATATCATTTCCTCAGTCTGCATTTCTGATAAAATTGCATTATGTGATATGATATAAGTAGCCTTCAAAGTATTTACCTCAGGACCACACACAGTTGGAAAATGTTTGTGTACATGAAGAGAGTCTGACTTAATCTTCTTCAACTGAAATAAGTCTCCAAATGACCCAGGAAATTGGCAAACTGTGGTCCCAGGCTGCCTGTTTTGTAAATAAAGTTTTATTGAAAGATAGATACACTAATTGACTTTCTTGTTGTCTATAGCTGCTTTCTCACTTTAACTGCAGAGTTGAGTAGATGTGACAGCAACCATATGGATCACAAAGCCTAAAAGACTTGTAGCCCGGCCCTTTGCAGAGAAAATCTTTCCACAATCCATTTTGCTGGACACTGCAGAAATCTTCCATCCTTTTCTCATCATATGAAGGATCTTTTGTGATCAAGTGTGGAAGAAAGTGAGAGCTCAGTAAACTAAAGTATTATAGCAAAATTAGGTAAGTTAATGGTACAATAGCAAGTAAGAAATTAGAAAAGAAGATTTAGAAGTTATGTGAACAAACTTAAGCAATGGTAAATGCGTTCCTTTTTTGGTAAAGATGAGGTCTTGCTATGTTGCCTAGGCTGACCTCAAGCAATCCTCTTGGCTTGGTCTCCCAAAGTGCCAGGATTCCAGGTGTGAGACACCATGATCAGTCAGTTCTAAATATTTCTTTTGATTGCATGTACCTTATCAGAGGAACATTTGCAGATGATTCATTTATGTACTTGATGAAGCAAGGGGTCTAATATAACCTTTAGAATGAAATGTTAGCGTGTAACATTCTAATTTGACTTGTTGGTATTAGGAGAACAAGAAGCTGACGAATTATTGTCAAGTGTGGAAAGAAGTGGAGAGAAGCAATGGGGCATGTGAACATCCTGAAGGCGAAGAACTTCAAATACACAGTAGATATTGCTAAAAAACAAATCTTACTAATTTGTAAACAATTGATAAAATTGGGAGTAGGTGAATGGGGGAGTTCTTTAGCAGGTTCTGAAAGGGGATGAAGCAGTCCATATGAGCTTGAACGTGACTGGTCAGGGCTCCTTTCTAGGACAGAAATTCATACCAAGGACAAATATCTGGGAGTGAAATCAAAATTTAGCAGAATATAGACAGTAGGGGAAAAAAGAAATAAAGTAGTGTAGGAAACAATACCAGGAAAATTCAGAAAGTGAGTAATTATATTTTTGAACATTTTAAGAAAAATAACAACAAAAATCCCAGAAAAAGAGACTCTGAGAAGCTAGAAAAGCTGTTGTGTACCTTGCCTTCTACTAAGGTTCAGGATGAAATAAATTCATATAAAAATGAGCAGTGAGTACAAATTTTGGTCAAGTACATTCAAAGTTATTATTTTAAAAAGTGAGAATAAAAATAAGAAGAATATCTTTAAAGACAATGAAAGTATGTCACAGAAACAAGCCTAGAAAACTATAATGTATAACTTCAAAATGAACAAAAAGACATTTGGAAAATAATACATGACCTGAAAGAACAATATAAAATAGAATTAGAAAAAAATCAGAAAGGAAACACCAAACTCAGTAAATAATCAGAAATAAAATTTAAAATTTATTTTTAAATGAAGACTGAGCTAAATATGAGGAATACAAAACTGAGTGTTTTTAAAAAGAAATAAGAAAAGCAATAAAATAAATCAAGTGAAGGTGACAAATATTGAGATGGGCAAAGAATAATCAATAAGCAGACAGTGGGATCTTTGTAAAATAAAATAAAGCAAGGGAGCAAAACAGATATCAAATACAATTTAAGAAATTTTTACTGAATTTAAAAATAATATTTAAAGCTATATAGTAAAAATATACTATATACCTGAAAATATCAACCCAATGACTAACATCAATGCTACTCTAAAAAAAAAAATCACAGTTTGAAGAAAAAAAATCCTTTGAGCATCTAGACAAAATGAGCAAGTGGTTTAGAAGACAAAGAAAATTAGATTATCATTATGCATTTGACAGAAATGCTATATGCCGTAAGAAAATGGAATATTTTTTTATACGATTTTAATATACTCAAGAAAAAAATGTGAGGTGAAGATTTTATATCCAATAAGACCGACTCCAAAGTATAAAAGATGCAATGTATAATCAACAAGAAAGAAATCAGTGAATATTGTTTACATGGTTCTTCCTTAAAATACATTACACTGTGAACTTCAGACCACCTAAAGAACTAGAGAGACATTTACATAAATACTGGTGGTGAGCATTAAGTGTGTAGTTATTTGTGGGACTAAAACTAAATGAAGACAAAGGGCATAGTATGTAGAACTGTGTATATATGCTGCGACATTATAGATATAATACAACTATTTTTAAAAGGGAGAAAATGGATAAAGCATATGCAATAAATTATTGAACTATTTTAAATGATCATGTTACAGTTGTAATATTTGTATTGTCATTGTTATTCTGATACTGTTGGGGGGTATATTATAAAATAAAGGAAATACATTAAAAAAAGCAAGATGAGATCTTGCTATGTTGCCTAGGCTGGCCTCAAGCAATCCTCCTGCCTTAACCTCCCAAAGTGCTGGGATTCCAGGTTTGATCCATCACCACCAATCAGTTCTAAATATTTCTTTTGATTCCTTATCAGAGGAACTTTTGAAGATGATGAGTTTATGTACCTGATGAAGCAAGGGGTCTGACATAACTTTGAGAATGAAATGTTAGTGTGTAACATTCTAATTTGACTTGTTGGCATTAGGGGAACAAGAAACTGAATAATTATTGTCAAAAGGACCATCTGCCTCTGTTCTCATTCCACCCCCTCACAGAAGGCCTGCACCAATGTTCACTATTCATACACACCAGAGTTGCTGTGTGGGCACAGG